GTGCGCTCGGTGCGCTGGCGGTACGGCCGCCTGCCGCGCGGAGCCCGCGTCGACTTTGCGGCCTGGGCCGAGAGGGAGGAGGCCGGCGAGGGCCTGTCGAGGTACCACACCCGGTGGCGCGACGGCGTCATGGCGATCCGCCACGGGAGGAGGAAGTCGTCCGAGACGGTGGCCGAGGATAGGGCGGCGATGGGGTCATGATGTCGGGACCGGCGGCCAGGATGAGGGACGACAATTCAGTTTATTGCATTTTACCGTTTCCCTCCTATTCGCCTGCTGTTTCACCTTTTCCAATCTTGTCGTTTGGGGGTCCTATAAAAGGGGTTGGAGTTCGGTTTTTGTCCATGTTCATATATAAACAAACCGTTGGAGGGAATATGTTCGAGTTATTGACCAAAACGAACAACTCGCGCATTTGATCAAGATGCGCTTTGCCCGTTCTGAAAACGGCATCAATCGCTCCAAGACATAATTGCTATGCCACGTGACTGCCTTGGAGCTGACACTATTGCTTCATTCCATCTTGGCTAAAGCGAGCAGTCGAGCCGCTGAGACAGCGCTCCATTTGCAGGCGGGTCGTGCAAGCTGTCCACAACGCGCGGCCCGAGGCACGGGTCCCTGACTCAGCTGTTCGTAGAAGCGCCAGCGCTGGCTGTTGCACGTCACAATTGCACTGAATCCACATGCCAAACTGCAAACTACCGCCGCTGAACCCACCTGTGCCAACCCTCCAAACCAACCGCCCCCTTCCCTGTCGCGCCTCCGAATCACCACATACCACCATAAGCTATACTCGATCCTAACGCCAGAAGCTCGAGATTGTGTCTGCCGCCAAGACCCCCGACGGACCCGACGACCTTGTCTGTTTTTCCTACCGTTTATCCATCGACCGCATCGCCATCCGTCATCATCCTCACTCCCACTTCCGAGCAATAAGCAGCCTCCCCCGCTGCCGAGCCAGCACTCTGCTGCTCTCCTCCCCCACCTCCGCGAACCTTGTGCTCTAGACACGATGGCCATGTCAAGGTTCAACTCTAAATCTCCCACTATCCGGCGCATAAGTAAGTCAGCTCTTTCCCCTCTCTGAACTCTCCTCTTCCCCCAAACGGCCAACAGCTAACCCAAGGCGTCCCCAGTGCGCGAGGCCCAAGAGCTCTCGGCCTCGCCATCGCCCGACTTCACGGCGACGCCGCTCGAGTCGGACCTGTTCGAGTGGCACTTCACGCTCCGCGGCCCGCCCGACTCTGTCTACGCCGACGGCCTGTACCACGGCCGCATCGTGCTACCGCCGACGTACCCGCTCCGCCCGCCCTCGTTCCGCTTCGTCACGCCCTCGGGCCGCTTCGAGGCCAACCGCGAGATCTGCCTGAGCATCTCGGGCCACCACGAGGAGACGTGGCAGCCCGCCTGGGGCGTCCGCACCGCCCTCGTCGCCCTGCGCTCCTTCATGGAGACGGACCCGCGCGGCCAGCTCGGGGGGCTCGAGACCACCGACGCCGTCCGCCGCCGCCTCGCCGCCGAGTCGCGCGCCTTTAGGTGCCCCGCCTGCGGCGGCCGCTCAAACGCCGACATCATCGCCGAGGCCGAGGCCGAGGCCGCTGCTGCTGGCGACGGTGGGCCTGCCGGCGCCGAGGTTGAGGTCCCCGCGGAGCTGAAGATGGGCTGGCGAGACGAGATGGGCAAGAACCCCGCGCCTGCTGCCGCCGCAGCTGCCGCCGCCGCCACCGCTCCGTCGGAGGATCCCGAAGTCGCCGAGCTGGCCGAGGGGTTCGTCCAGACCGTCGCGCCCCAGCCGCAACTGCAGCCGCAGCCGCAGCCCACCAGGACCGTGCCCCTCGCCCCCATTCACCGGCCAGCAGCGGCGGCGGCGATGGGCGCGCCGCTGGTCCAGGCCGCGCGGCCACAGTACCGAGCGTCGCCCGATGGCGTGCCCGTCTGGGTCGATAGGGCCATCGCCATCGTCAGCGTCATGCTCCTCGCCATGTTCCTCAAGGTCTTGGTGGTCTGAGACGGCGGTGGCCCGGGAGGCTGCGAGTTTACTTTGCTTTCTGTCACGCCGCCACTTTCTTCTGGCGTTACTTGGTGTTCCTTTCTCGGCAGGATTATTCCGATACTATTTTACGGACCGTATAGGCGCTTTGGGGGAGTTTGGACCGAGTCTGGAGGGCGTTAATGGGGGCTGCGGACTTTGGGCGCATTCTTGGAATTACTTACAAACAACCCCCTGAAAAACCAGGCAGGGAAGCAGAGGATGAGGCGGCAGTAGGCTTTGTGGATATCAATCACATATAATCGACACACTACACTATAGTCATCGCGATTAGGACATCGTGGCCAAAAAGCCCACATCGTCCAGGCTTGTTCAACGAAGACAACCGTGCAGACGGATGGCCATATCCTACATGAATTCTCCGCTCTACCATTATCTCGCTGCGCTCCAACGCCTCAGAAGTGACATCCATCCCCATACCTATAGGTGGTAGAGTGGTCGCTCTCCCAATATGATAAAGGAAAAAAGACACGAGCGGAAAGAAGAGTGCGGCAAAACCGGACAAAAAAAAAGCAAGAATATCTCGAATGTTGGTTCCCCAACGGTCAACCCATTCGTCTACACTCACGTCGTTGACGCCACCGTCGCAGCCACCTGGCTACTCTCAACCCCGGCCTCGGCTTCGCCGGCCTCAAACAGCCGGGCCACGACCAGCCACCACCACTCCTCGACGCAGACGCCGCCGCCGCCATCGACCAGCTCGCCCACGATGCCGACCTCGGAGCCCCAGCCCATGACGGCCTGCACGTCAAAGACCTCGGTGAGCGGCTTGAGCGCCTCGCTCGTGCGCTCCGCGTCCATGGAGCCCCTGGTGGCCAGCGCGAAGAGGACGGCGCCCGCGACGGCCGCCCAGCGCCCCGCGTCGGGCCGTGCCAAAAAAGTCGCACCACGTCGGGAGCTCGCCGCGCGGCCCCGCCCCCGGCGCCGGCGTGCGGCCCGCCCGGGCCAGCACGGGAACGTCGTCGTCGCACACGTAGCGGTCCGTGGGTACGACGCGGAGCCCAAACGTGTAGAGGTCCTTTGAGTACTTGCGCGTCTCGTAGTTGCCTGGCTCGAAGCCCATGGGGATGTCGGGCGCGCCCACGGGCTCGACGCGCACGCGCCCGTTGGCCTGCAGGTTGAAGATGGCCATGACGGCGCCGTCGTCGGGCGCGTAGGGGAAGTCCATGGCCCCGCCGCCGCTGCGCCACAGCGCGTCCAGCCGCCGCTTGTAGGCCGCCGCCTGCACAAACTTGCTCGCCTGCGACGACTTCTTGAGCGCCTCGGAGAAGTGCTTGGTGTACCTGTACGGCCGCCCGCTCCGGAACGCCGACGCCTTGCTCTTGCATATGACGCGCCGGACCTGCAGCTGGAAGATGACGTTCTCGAGAAGCCGACCAAGCTCCTCGTCGCTCTCGATGCCCAGCGTCTGCACCTTCTCCTTGATCGAGTTGGGCGTGTACAGCTCACGTGGCGTTGAGCACAGCGCGCGGATCCACGTCGTCGCGACAATCTCGTCGACAGACGGTGACACCTGCCCCTTGTGACTCCGTACCATGGCCGGTATGGCTGCTGGCTCCGAAGTGGCGTCTTGAAACCGCTTCCAGACCGAGCGCTGGAAGTGGAAGTACGTGTCGCGCCATTCGAGCGGCTTGTAGGCCGCCTCATTGATCAGGTAGTCCTGCTCCAGGCGGCCTCTCGTGGTCGGGAGACGCACGACCTGCCGGATCACCGTCGTGACGGTCCACCTGACAAGACCCTTCCAGTCGTAGGCTAGCACATCGTCGTAGTTCAAGGGCGGGATCTCCTTTCTCTCGTACGCGGCGAGGTATGCGTCCTGGAACTTCTCCGTAGTTACCTCGATGTAATAGCCCCTCACCTTCCTGGCCTCGGTCCAGAACTTTCTTAGAATCGAGAGTCGCGTATCTGGGAACAACCTCATCATGACTCCCCAGTCAATGGTCTTGTCGACACCACCCAAAAGCGTCCTAACCACGACAAAGGCGGCAATGCGAGTGTCGTGGGTAGACCAGTCGATATCGTCCGACACGGCCCGAGTCTCAAAATAGTCATCTTGGGCGTGCGGAAACGCCGATAGTTCCCGAACCTTCTTGAACTGTGGCACTCTATGCAGTCTTGCGCCCCGGGGACGCCGAACACCACCATAGGCTCTGGGTCGCTGTTCTCTCTCGAAGGCGGCTCCGTGGCTGTGACTGACAGAGGCGAACCGGCTCCGTGCGCCGCCCCTACTGCCGCCTCTACCCATGCCCCCACCCCTTCCACCGCGTCCGCGCCCGTGTGAAAAAAGAAGATGATGATGCTTGATTCCCGTGGCAGACCTTTCGTACCTCTCCACTTCTTCCGACAGAGTAAAGTAGGGCAGGGAGTCGACGGTGAACTGGTTACCGGGGGTCCATTTCAGCACGCTTGGAGCTGGCTCCGGGAGGCTCTGGTCCACCTTCATAACGTCGGGGTTAACGGTAAAGTTGAGGAACCTGTGGTCAGGGGCCAGGCTGGACGACTGGAGGAGACGAGAAGTATCCTCGGAAAGCTCCCATTCACGGCAGGACTCGACGTGCCAAGCGAATTCTCCCCAGTTCGGATCGCGCCACTCGTCAAGCTTGTACTTCTCTTTGTGGGGCATCTCTTCCAAGTTTCTCGGAATGTGCTGTGGGAGAATGTGCTTCTTGTCGGGCTTAAAGTCGTCTGGCATGATGAAACTTCCATCGTTATCATGGAAGTAAGACTCATCCAGAGCTGGCCAGCCTTTGCCCGAATCGCTCAACCTTAGGAGTGATATAGAATCGGCGAACGAGCATGAGACAACATCTCTTGCCAAATCGGACGGGGGGTCTGCAGTCGCGGAGGCAGCATCGGTCTCTGTGGGTACTTCGTGCATCTGAACACTGGGCGAGCCGTCATCAGAGGCAGAATCCTTGTCCGAAGCCGATCCCGCATCAGTCTCGTGGTAATACTGCGAGATGTCCGCAATTGAGAGTGGCGGCAAAAACCGAACTGGGGGGCGGGTTGCGTCCTCGGCCACACCATGGTGGGTGAAAAAGGATGGAGGCAAGGTGTCGAGCCCTGGGTTTCTTGAATACTCGAGCCGCCGGAACTTTCGTGGCCGCGAGTCTGGCAGCAGCCTCCGTCGTCGTCGGCCCATGCCCACCCCTGAAAGGCGGACAAGCCGGGAGGCGAGCCAGGCACTCTTGTCGCCTGGGCCATCGGTTGCTCCCGTGGAGAATCTGCTGTTCCAATCATCAGGCCTGGCCTCATCGGGCTCGTGGTCTGAAAGTTCCTGGCGGACGAGACGGACGTTTCTAGCCACTTCGTAGAACGGGGCCTTCAGAACCTCGACCTCCCCGGGCAGCTTCCGCTTGGACCGACCGTTCATGCGCGCAACCTCTTCTTGGATTTTGACCTCGAGCACGGCCCTGATTTCTGTAGAAGGCGCAAACAGCGGCGGGACGTAGGGCTCTGGATGGACGGCTTGGATCCTCTCCTTGAGTTCAGGGATGAGCGGGCTTGTGTTGGGGAGGTCAGGTTTGGTCACCAAGCTCAGGGAGGAGCTGGATCCTTTCGGGTCTCTCCAGGCGTATGTTTGTATACGCAGACTCTTGCGCTTCTCAAGCGTCTTGGCCAGGGCCTGGACGGAGCGCAAGCTCGGAGGGCTCTCCTCTGGAAAGTGCTTGAGATGCAGAGTGAAAACGGCAAACCAAAGGCCCTTGTCGCCTGGAAAGATGCCACCATTTGCTTCAATCAAGTACATGGTGGCCATCATGGTTCTGTGGGACGAGGGTAACACCTTTGGGTTGTCACAAATTGGTAAGACAAATACCGGGATTCCATCTGGGCCAATGACTTGCTTGGGCGGCTCTTGGTCGGGTTGTTCCTGCGTTTTCTCGTTGGCTTTGTTGGTTACTGGTGCGGGCTCGCTCGTCTCGGCGTTCTCTGTGGCGGCGCCGTCGTTAACCGCAAGACCCGACCCATCAGCCGATGGCGGTTCGGCCATGCTTACATCAGTTCCGTTGGTGGCCTCCTTCTCGACCGATCCTTTCGCTGAGAGATCTATTCCTGCCTCGACCGACTTCCGAGTGGCCTTGCGGGAGCGCCCTCTCGATGACTTGGCTGGTGAGGTTACAGCCACCAGCCTCTGCTTCTGAAATGTGCGGGGGCCGCCGAGCGTGGCTTCTTGCGGCTCAGGCTCGCCGTACTCAAATGTGATTCGGCGACGTTTTGTTGGTTCCACAAGAATTGGCGTCGCAATGAAGTCTGGGTTGCAAGAAGTCTGCGACTTTTGCTGGTGGTACCTGAGTCCTTCTCTATTTTTGTAAGTTGCGCCGCATTGTTTGCATCTGTATAGCCCTGTGGAAGGTGATGCTGCAACCTGTCGCTTGCGCTTCCTGTGTGACCGTGGGGTGGACGGTCTTGGCTCTTGCTCCTCTAGCTCTGGCTGCCCTGCATCAGACTCTGAGACTTCCGGGACATGTGACTCTGACGCCTTGGGCTCAGAGTTGGCGTTGGTCGCTGTCTTGAGGGTTTCCAGCTTGCCCTGAAAGGTTGAGGCGGCGTCGCACACCTCGGGATCGTTGTCGAAGTGGAAGAGGTATGGCCATTGGGAGCCATTTCGCGAGACTTTGATGACAAAGCACTTGTCATCTTCGTCTGGCGGCACTTCTATCTTTGGATCCTCCAGAATATCGTCGAACGCAATGTTCAGCGGCTTTCTTCCAGCGATGAAAGGACTAAAGTCGAATATAACCTGACGTTCTTGTGGGAGGAGCCGAAGTTGACCAGACCGTCCATTGTATCGCGCCACGAGTACATTATCTGAAATTGCGTTGTCCGGGGTAGCCTCCTCAGCCGCAGACTTAGATGAGGGGTCGGATTCAGGGTTTGCAGGCACGGGTTCCTCTTCCGGTGGTGCCTCTGGCAAGGACTCAGGGGTAGGCGTCTTTGGTCGGAGAATGGATGCGGTTGACATTGAGGAGGTTTCTTCTGCAGCCGCCACCGATTGATCCTCAGCGTCAGGGCGTTGCGATAGCTGCCAAGCCTGTACTCCCTGTCCGACAAAAGTGAGAAACAAGCGCTTTGGAGCATTCCTTGGCGGGCGGCCGCGCCTCTTGGGAGCCGAGCTGGCCTCCCCGATATAAGCTCTGATGCCAGGCTCAATCTCGGGTCTGGGGATTGGTCCAGGTTCCTGAGGCAGTAGAGTTTCAAGACTCTTCTTTACCCTTTCCTTTTCTCCCCCCTCGCCTACTGTCTGAGAGCTGGCGGGAAGGGTAGCATCCGCGGACAGACTCAGATCCAAGCCGTTGTCCATATCCGCCTCGTTCGTTGGGCGAGATCTGCGTGCTCGCTTTGCCGGAGGTTCTGGGATCGGGTCCTCGAACAAAACAAACTGGCGCTTACCCGCGACCAGGTCACGAGGTAGGTTGGCACGAGGGGCGGTGGTATGGCGAATACGACCTAGAGCCGTGAGGTTCGCATTCGAGCGTGTAGCAGCCAGGGGCTCGGGGACGGCCGGAAACCCAAACTTCTCTTGAGCGGCCGCCGGAGACAGTTCTCCCGACAACACAGCAGCCACTGTTCCACGTGGGAGCTCCGGACCGTTAGAAGTGTCGGTGGAGTACACCTTTAACCGGGCCGTTCGGGTATCGAGGTTGATAATGAAGTGGCCGAGACGGGCAGGCTGGACAGTGGGATTGGCAAGCAATGGCATCAGGCTGTCCATGTAGCGCCGGAACGCGTATCCCACAGTGAGCGCGCTGATCTGGGGAACCGATAGACCCTGCGAGGCCGCGCGCTTTATCGTCTCGTGTACCTGGTTGACCAGAGGCTTGTCGGGCGTCCACTTCGATAGCTGGGCGGACATGCAGCCTTTGAGTTCGGTGGCATCCGCAGCCTTTTCCTCGGTTGGCTCGCCTTGCTCGATCTTCTTTTTCGCTTGAGCGCTGGCCCTCTGCTCCTTGGATTTGCCGCCACCGGTCGAGAGGTAGCTGCTCCACTCGACCTCGGTAGGATCGCGCAGAAACTTGATGCAGTCCTTGAAGATCCTGCCCGAATCGCCGAGCGAGGCCGCAACATAGCCTATGATTCCAGCCCCTGCAAATCGGCGTAAAATGCGGGCAAGGACCTTCATCTGCCACCGCACTCCGTGAATTCCAAGTTTGTTCTTCAGGTCCACTGTACGAAGAACCTCCCAGGCCTTGATAATCGCAAGGATAGAGCGTCCAAAGGCTTCGTAGTCTATGGTGGTGCCAGTCCAGCTTGTACACCATGCCACTGGCCGCAGGTCCTTGGTGAGGTTCGAGGGTGACAAGTCAAGGTCTCGTCCCCAGGTTTCCGGGCTGTCGGTGCTTGGTAGCTCTGGTGGTGCAAATTGGGTGAGCCAGAGCTTGCTCGTCTTGCAGCCTCGCAACACCACGGTGCGCTTCACGAGGTAGCCCTGGTCCGCGAGCCTGTGAGTCCTCAACGGGACAGACCGGCTGTCGCCGCCTCCAAGTCGACAAAGATTGGCCTGAGTGGCTCCGTGTTGGTGGCATGATGCGAGGACGACGAGCAGTTTCCAGTAGAGAGGGGGGATTCGGGATGTGTCTATGCCATGGCCTGTGATGTTGAGCCATGTGACCTCCTCGGAAGTGAAGATACACGGCTGGACAGAAGGGACATCCTTGGGGTCCTCAGAAGACTGGCCGCCAGGACTCGGATTGACTTTGCCCTTGGGTGGCCTCAGCGGAAGGTGGTAGACATCTCGGAACGAGAGATGATTCCAAGATCTGTCTAGGCGATCAAAACCAACCGAGACCTCGGGTCTAGCCGAGATATGGCCCCAGGCCGTGGCGGCGACCTCAAATGCTGCTGGGTCGTCCTGGAGAGTTGTTACCTCATTCCTGGCTGCCAGCTGCTCGGCCTCCTCCTCATTGTCGGGCGGACCATCGCCCTCCTTACCGTTCAGGAAGTTCTTGACTGCGGCAAGGAAGCTTTGGGGGGTGAGTCCTAAACAGAAGGTAAGCCTCGTTCTACAAGTGTGGATGTCAAGCAACAGCAGGAGGGCTAGGTGATCAAGAGAGCAGGGCAATCTCACCTTCGTCATTAGAGAAGGATATCTCTCGGACACACCACTCGATCAGGCTATCCACCCCTCGAGCCATTATGCAGCCGAGAGAACTCCCTCTTCCACTATAAGAAATGATTGTCAGCAAAGGGAGGAGAAAGATGGAGAGAGTCCACGCATGGGAGGGTAATATATGGAAGAGCAGGAAGCGCGGCCAGGACAAACTAACCAAATCAGACGGCCATTTGCGGACGGAATTTACACAAGCAAATATATTGGCTGGTCAGGGAAGCATAGACAGAATCGAGGTAGAAGTCGGTAACGGAAATTGTCGATAGCGCGATGGTGAAGGCCGGGTGAAATTGAAGTGAGGAACACGGCAGGGAAATCCAGAAGCGCAGCGGGAAAGGACTTTGTTGTGAGTATATTTACTGCAATCTGTCGGTGGAATACGTGATTCCGGCACTCGCGCTGGCTTTTCTCACTAGGTGGCGCTGGAGCAAGGATTGAAGACGAAAGTGAGGGAGTGGTAGGTTCGTAGAGCGAGGTGTGTGTCAACGCCAGAATTTTTTGAGTTGGGACCCGAGCCGGAATCGAACCTACGGCTTCGCAAACAATAAAATTGGGTGAAAGGTGGGGCGCTTGGGGCAACCCAATGCAACAGCCCCACATTGACGTCGATGGCTGCGTGTTGCCTTCACATGCGATGCAGAGTGACAGCAGAGAGAGAAGAACACCAAATCTTAAAGAATAGACATTTAAAGTTGCAAGCGAACACGCCGGGGAGGCCGCGATATGAACACGGGGTAAGCCTCGTCAGTGAAATGGGCGGGTAGGTATCACGAAAAATCCAACAGGTCAAACTCTAGCTGTCGCGGCCGCAATCGCCCTCTTCTTCTCCATCATTTGGCGGTACGAGCTCACCAGCTCGTTCCGGACCTCTTGCAGCTCTTCTCTTCGCCTCAAGCTGCCCGCGGCCTTGGGGATCCCGTCCACCTCGACCGCAGCGCCGCGGACCGTGAGCTTCTTGCCCGTCAGCTTCTTCAGCTCGGGAGGGGCCTGCGCGACATCGTGCAGCCCGATCTTGCCTTCTCCGCGCTTCTTTTTCAGCTCCTCCCACGGGTCATCCTCCTTATCGGCCGCCTCGCCGACCAGCCTAGCTCGTTTACCCTTCTTCTTCTTCTTGCCACCAGCAGCAGCACCGCCCTCTGCGTCGCCCTGCCACTTGATGCCACTCTCCTCCTCCTCCATTGCATTCTCCTCGGCAAGCTCCTCGACCTCCTCCCGTTTCTCCTGGATTTTGCGCTCCTCCTCCCTCCACTGGTCGTAGAGCTTGTGCATCTTACGCTCCTTGCGCGTCCTCCACACCTTAAGTCCCACGGGGTCCTTGCCATTCTTTAGGCCTTTGTTGACCAGCCCACTTATCGGGAGGGCCGCGTCGACACGGGCGGCAAAGTCGGACAGCTTTTCGCCGGGTTTGATGGTCGGCATCTCGGTAGCAGCTTCTGCGACAGCCGGCGCGGCCTCTTCTGATACCTTGACCTTCTTTTTCTTCTTGGATGGCGGCAGTGAGCTGTCGTCCAGTCCGTCTCGCGTCTTGTTCCCGTTCGCAAAGGCCATCAGCCGCTTGAATGCTCTTGGCGCATCATCCTTCCCGTCGGCGCCTCGCTTGCGTTTTGATCCTTTCGACTCTTTCGGGGCCTGTATAACGTTTGGCCTGGTTCCCCTTTTTGCATGTGTCTTGGGGGGCAGGACAATGGGGAGAGGCTTCGCTACTTCGGTTGGGGGGAGCTCGAAGCTATGAGGCGGTGGTGTCAGCACAATTCGGTCTATCGCATCTCGCTTGGCCAGAGCTGGGTTGATCAAGCTCACGTCGAAGGGTCCTTCTGCCGCCTGGTGTGTTTGTGGGGCATATTGACTATTGTCCAGTGGCTCTGGTAGTGCGATTGCGGTTGCAGTGTCGTCGGGTTGCTGCTCTTGCGATGCGATTTTCTTTTTCCCGTGCTGTTGAACTAAAGGCGCGAGGGGGCTTTCTTTCACGACTCCGCTGTTGCGCGTTTGAAAATTCGGCGGGCAGGGATCTTGCGGGTCGTCCCTGGAGAGGGACTGAACGCTAGCGGCTAGTCAAAAAGTACACCGCCTTCTAGAATCCCGAATTCTGCCATTGACTCACCCCTCAGCACTTGAACACCCCGCGATTGCGCCGCCAAGGGCTAGAGTCACTACGGATCCTCTCAGCCTCGCAACACCGCCATAGAACCTCACGCGCCAGATCGACCTGGCAAGATGGCGTCGCTTACCAAGGAGGAGAGGCTCGCCCTCATCAATGAGAACCTCGAGGAGGCTCTAAACATGGAAATCATTGAGGAGATACTTGCGCAGGGCCGCGACCCCAAAATCTACTGGGGTACGTTTTGTTGATGTGTGATGGCTGGGCGGGAAACCAGGGCTCCAGCAAGGGCAGAAACTAACATGCCATCAATCGCCCGCCGCCGCCTTAGGAAGTGCCACTACGGGACGACCGCACGTCGGTTACTTCGTGCCCGCCCTCAAGTTGGCCCAGTTCCTCGCCGCGGGCTGTGAGCTTACGATACTCCTCGCCGACATCCACGGCTTTCTCGACAACCTCAAGGCCCCCATCGAGATCGTCGAGTACCGCGCCGAGTACTACAAGTTCGTCATCCAGGCGATGCTGCGGGCAGTCGGGGTCCCGACCGAGAAGCTGCGCTTCGTCCTGGGCAGCTCGTACCAGAAGAGCGCCCCCTTCATCATGGACGTCTACAAACTGGCTTCGCTCACATCGGAGCACGATGCGCGCAGGGCTGGTGCTGAGGTAGTCAAGCAGTCCAACAACGCGCCCCTGAGCGGTCTTCTCTACCCTCTTCTTCAGGCCCTGGACGAGGAGTACCTGGGAGCCGACGCGCAATTCGGCGGCACCGACCAGCGCAAGATCTTCACCCTGGCCAAGGAAGTCCTTCCCAAGATTGGCTACAAGCCCCGCGCCCATATGATGAACCCCATGATTCCGGGCCTGGTAAGATGATGTAACCTTTACCAAGTCCTTCCTACTTGTGCGCACGCCGACAGGGGGCTTCGAACCATGCTGATCCCTGTCCGATAAATAGCAAGGCACGAAGATGAGCTCCAGTGACCCAGGTCAGTAAAGCCATTACAAATGCCGTGGAAATCCACCTCACTATGTATGCCGACTGACAACCCTCCTGCAGACAGCAAAATCGACCTGCTGGACTCTGCCGAGGCCGTGACCAAGAAGCTCCGCAAGGCCGAAGCTGTGCCCAAAGTGCCCGAGGGCAATGGTATCCTGGCGTTTGTTGAGTTTGTGTTGTAAGTGGCAGTGAACGCCAATAATGCTTTTTGTTTATGGAATACCTTGGCTAAGTGCAGCGCGTGCACTACCCGACAGGCTCCCGGCATCGAAACTCAAACTTGGACACCCAGAATTCCGAGTCGAGAGGGAGCGTGATGGCTTAGAGCCGCTTGTCTACGACAACATTGAGAAGATTAGGCAAGACTACAGGGAGGATGTGGTAAGCTGGATTTGGTTGCCCCTTCTGATGCTTCTGGATTACCTTGAGGATTAACGTGATCCTCCCCCACTACTCCTTATTCGGATAGCTCTCTCCACAACTGTTGAAACCTGCAGTTACCAAGGGACTGCTTGAGCTCATGGCGCCGATTCAGGCCGAGTTCCAAGCCTCCAAAGAGTGGCAGGAGGTCACTGAGAAGGCCTACCCGCCACCGGAAGTGAAGAAGAAGGAGAAGAAGGTCAAGAACAAGGGAACACGGCACCCGGGAGCTGGAGGAACCGCAACCTTACCCGAGAGGCCCAAGGAGGCAGCGGCAGAGTAAGCAGCGAGAGACGGTCAATAGAGAAATGGACTAACAAAATAAGATAATGGATGAGAGAAATGATGGAAGCCTTCGAGACGACGATTGTAAATCAAACAAGGTGTAGGCGCCTAGCTAGGCATCTGAACAGGAACCTCGAGTGTCGGAATGGGAAAGAGATGTTGGCAGCAACTGAAAGGGGATAGACAATGGCCAAAAGTTGGCCGTGGTAAATGTGCTTTTGGGCTTGGTGTCGCAATTCCTTCCTTTGGACATGGGTTAATGGAAGGCTCAGGGGTCACCCCTGAGCCGCCTCCAGGCCCATACGAAAGCAGGTGATTGCACACTTTGGTTCCCCAATGGCCCCTGTGCATTCGTCTTACCTATTGCACCTAAAACTGCGAGATAGATTTTCCGATTCTCTTTGGACGGATGCGCCAAGGCCCACCAAGGTGTTTGAGATGGACCAGGCACACTCTCTGCCAACAAGGGGACTAGCGCTGACACCGCCGAGGGCCAGAATGGGCGGCACAGTGAGCAGAGAGCAAGAGCTGCATAAAAGCTGATTGCGGTAGCTATCCACCCCAAGTCCATCTAGTCTCGGGATTTATCGCTAACCACAGACTTGCCGCCGTCAGTGCACAAAGAATCGTCCTCGCTGTAGTCGTCCTCGTCCTCTTCGTCGTCGTCGTCGTCGTCGTCGCTCTCGTCGACCCCCAGCATCTTTCTCTTCTCCTTCTGAATCCCCTTCTGGGTCTCCTTCATCTTCCTTTCCGCCTCCTTCCTTTCTTCCCTCTCGATCTGCCTCTCCAGCTCCCTTTCGTCCTGCGCGGCTTCGCCCTTGGCGCCAAGCTCGTCCCACAGCGCCTCGAACGCGTCGTCCTCGGCCTTGTTGCGCTCCTTCTCGGCCCGCACGAGCTCCGCGAGCTTGGCCTTCTCGGCCGCGCTGAGCTTCCTGATCTTCTCGGCGAGCTGGGCCCGCATCTCGGGCTCGAGGCGCTCCTTCTCCTCACGGTGGCCCATCAGCTCAGGCTCGGGCTTCGGGTTGGCCTTTGCGTGCTCGTCGCTATCCCATGTCGCCTCTTCGAACGCGTTCAAAACCTCATCCTCCCAGGCATCTTCCTCCGAGGTCCTGCAAACGTCTGCAGCCCTATGTTCAGGGCATCGCGCATCTTCGTCGTATTCAAGTTTTGCCTGAGACAACACGTCCTTGTTGTGGTAGTCGTGCTTCCTTGCGCAGCGCCGCCCCTCGAAAGCCTGGGCCCAGCCCTTGTGAATGTCGCTGGTCTGGTAGGATTTGCTGATGAGGGTCATCGTGGTAAGCCCGAGGGCCCCCACGTCTACCGACCTGAGCTCGGCGATGGTGGACATGGCCCCATCTGTGGCCTGGGAGTCGGCGTGGTTCTCGACGTAAGCTGAGGCCGTCTGGGTGGGGGAATGGATAGGAAGAGGCGCGAGGAGCCAAACTGACATCTCTGATGTTCTGTGCCATGATTTCCGGAGGAGGGCGGTCCAGCACGATGTTCCGCTGAGCCTCTGTGAGCGTGTCTGGGCCGGCAAATGCCTTGCCCCAGACATCACAGCGGCTGAACAACAGGATGCGCTCGAGCTTCGAGAGAGACTTGTTGTCCTCGACCGCCTTCTTGTATAGCCCATCTGAGATCTCCGGCTTCCCTTTCAAGAGGTCGTCGAGAATGCTATCCGTATTCGCTTTTCTGTCTATTTGAAGGGCTGCCATATTCTCGGTGATTGCGGCGGTGCCTTTGCTGGTAGCTGCTGCAGCAGCAGCAGTCGGGGCGGCGGCAGCGGCGGCGGCAGAAGAAGGAGAAGAAGTATCGCCAGGTGCTGCAGCTGCAGCCGCAGCCGCCGCCGCTCTGGCCTGGCTCCGTGTGACGACCATTATCGCGTGGCTGGGCGCCCCGGATCTGGCTCGGGCTCGGTGTCCGGATGTCTTGGGTGATGGAGGTGAAGACGGGGCAATGTGGCTAGGTCGGTTTTTGCTGTGGGTGACTCCCCTTTGAAGTTGGCGCCCCGTTCACCTAGACGGGGTTCGGTCCAATGGATACCATGTATCAGGACGGGCCTGGCGGTTGGTGCGGATAGTGGGGTTAACGGACCTTAGCGTGCCAACGCACGGCTTGGCATTCCCCGGTGTAGGCGCTGTCGGATGCGTTCACTTGAGCGGATGTCCTAGACCGCCCACAGAATTGCGTCTACGCCATATTGACAATAGTCTGAGCGGTGATGCGATCCATAGATCACTGGTGGCAAGGAGGCCCACGTGGGTTTTGGGCGGATGTAGCGCACCCTGTGAGCCAGGGTCGGCAGATGGGCTCAGGGTAATAGGAGTAGCCACCCGCCACATGAGCTCGGACGACCGCTCCGGCCGAGCTGACAAGGCCCAGGGTAAGGGCTGTTGCATTCATTTTCTCTGGAGAGATGACACTGACATCGCTTTCCGTCTTCGGATTTCTCCATTCCGTTCAAAATCTCCTCGGTTCTCCGTAGCAGTCTGGTAACCAGCTAAATGTTAATTTACCTCGGCGTTGGAGACCGCTCTGGGGCTCTAGTAAGACCAAAAATAGCACCCTTGGTGACGGCGAAGCCCAACCGCGTGAGTAGCCTCCGGAGCTTCATTGCATATAGGTTTGCTGCCTGGAACTCCAATGTCACCTTAAGGGTGGGCTCAAAAATCTCACTCCCCTTTCCTCGCTAGTTGTGCCCATGGAAGCCGGAAAGATGGGTAGAACGGAACTCGGCAGCTCCCTCGCCTTGCCAAGGCTCTCCCATGTCCATCCCATCTTGCCCACTCCACACAGTGTGGAATGTGGCACCGGATCGGCCCGGTTTAGCGTTGACCTGATTGGGCGTAGTTCCATCAAACAGGTGCCCCCTGCACATGCGGGTGTTGCACCCCCACAGTTGATGCCAACAGGCGCTGGCCCCAGCAGTGTGCCGAGTCGTACATCGTTCCTGCAACTCATCATGCTTCCCTGCTCCGCTGCTGTGTGGGATCAAAGCTGAACGGCATGTTGCACTCGCAGTTGTTCTTCATGTTGTGAGCCAGAATCCATGATTTGCTTGGTGCCTTCTGACAAAGAACATATCGTGGTGTGGTTACCATGAGGGTGGCTCCAGCGGGTTCCAGGGATTGTGAGCAGGCACAGTCAAGACGGAGCTGGAAATGATGAATACATTCCGTAGAGCGATGAACAGGACCTGCTCAGGGTGTTGGGAGAGTAAAAGCAACTCGGAGATGAGTGGAGCTACAACGTGAGGGAACGGTAATCTGGGCAGCGCAAATACACGGCGAGCCGATCTCAACCAGTTACCGACACTGGATAGGTAATAGATTGCGTTAGTGATTCCTAAGCTAGCAGGGAGCCGCCCAGCCCGATACCGACTTGCTGTGCTGCCGAGGCGCGAGCCGTGGAGGAGGAGGGTGTGCGCCCCGGACGATTTCTCGCGTGGCAACCTTGATCGGCGCACTAGTACGCCACGGCGTCGCGCGGCGAGTAGATGACCATATGACGCTCGCCCCCGCAGTTCTGGGAGGCGTCGCCCGGGCAGGGGGTGGCCTTGCACTCGGCCGGGGCGCAGGTCCACCGGACAGTTCCGCCCTCGAAAAAAAGCAGTCTCCGAGCAAGCATCGCCTCGACCCCGCGTGTCCATGCTCGGGACTTGCACTTGTCGGTGTTGGAGGAGTTGTCGGCCCTGACGGCGCAGTAGGTCGCGTCTATCGAGCCAATGTACCCCTCACTTGGAACAGCAATGGTTGTTGTCGCAGATTGCTGCGGAGAAGACACGATGTTGTGGTGTACTTGACAGACCTTTTGCTTGAACGAGCGTGGTTCAGGGTCTGGAAGCTCACGCACACCTCTCAGACCATACTCGGCGTCCCGTCCATCTACGTCGGCAATGGTGAAAGCGGCGCCGGATATAATGTAGTCAGACTTGCGTAGCTCCATCTCCAAGTCCTGATTCGGTAGACAGAGCAGATCAATCCAGAGATAGCGAAGACCGAGGAGGCGTGTCAAATGGATGGCATGGCGCCATGTTTTTGGGAGACGGGGCTGGCCGGCCGTGTCGGCAAGGAGAGCGCTGGGTTGGCAAACCGCAGACAGGTTGTCCCCAGTTGTGAAGTACTCGGTGTTCGGACCGCGGAACTAGCTGAGGATGACGTATTCGGCGCCTTTCTCTTTCAAGACATCTCCCTTGACGAGACAGCCGTCTTCGACGTCGATGAGCCACGCCGGTTTCGGCAACTCAAAATCGGGCTCGAAGACGGCGGACTCGCAGAGCTTCCCACGGTTGCGCCTGCAGTTGTCAAGAAACCCTTGGATCACTGTGAAGCCAATCCAATTCTCGTCACGCACGATCCTCCCCTGGCCCCAGTGGCCCTCCTCATGTGCGACGACATTCAGCCACTTGCCGTCGAATTTTCGCTTTCTCGATGGTGCAATCCCGGCCTAGCTTCGGCTTGAAGTTGATGGCCTCAAAGAGAGGAAGATGCCGCGTGTAGTTCCATGTGGTTTGGCGGCGGTTTGGGTCCAGGACTATTATTTTTTCGAGGCCTTGCTTGAGCAGGGTCGCCACAACGCGGGCGATAGCCTCGCACACGGCGCAGTTGGCCATGGTAGATGCCGATTGAAGTGCTTTGGTGGCTTTGGTGGTCCAGTTCTAGAAAGTGGCAGTGCTTCGAAGGACGAGGGGCTGGCTGTTAACATCCACGTCACATCCACTGGGCTCTGTTTGCGTTGGTTTTATGGCTGGCTTTATCGGCCTTTAGTGGAGGCAGAAACCAGTGCCAAGGCTGGCGTCACTCATCCCCTCACCGCTGCTGCCCTAGTTGGAGCGATGAGGCTCGGGGTCCTCACTCGATGCATGTTTGCGGGCAAGAAGATCAATACCACGCTTCTCTGTGGGCGATGGGGAGTCAATACATGCACTCAAATGAGTTTCTGCCGGCTGGATAGAAGATGGTAGAGGTGGGTGGGCGATATTGGGTGGGGCGTGATGTGCTGGACCAACGTTCATTCAAGGGGCAGCACCAACCCCATTTCTTTGGTGTCATTGCCGGCACAAAAACGCCGAATTTTTCAAACACCTTTCAAGTGGGTGCGTGTTGTTGGTGATGACTTCTCGGGTTCAGACAGGTTCAGACAGGTCCAGGCCCAGTCACCCGTTGACCCTTGTCATGCGGGGAAGGCGGGTGTTGGCGGCCACCCACCAAGTGGGTTAAAGAATAAGGAGGGTAGCATCCGATACCACGTGTAACCACAGGTGAGGAAAGGTGCGAGTGAGCGAGTATCTCGAGTGTGCAAACTTTTACGGTGCCTCGATCAAGAAGTGCCCCAGTGCAGGCTGACCTGCAGGTCAGCCCCAATGTTTCGGGCAACGTGACGTGACCCCCGCAGCTGGAATCCGCGGCATCCAGGTGGTGTGCATAGCCGATGAGATGCTTGTTTCGCTGTCGCCCAGAAGACGCAGCAGCCCGCATGATGATGCCAGATTATTTATATGCACGATAGATATGATAAGCACAAGCCTGCACAGGCTGCCCATTATAAAGACACATGGTGCAGGGTCTCAGGGCCTTTCCCTCGGCGGTTGCCCGAGACAAAGATGTGAAGAGGCCTCGACAAAGTATAATTCTCCGTCCGTGCTCTCCAGTGGCCCCAGTGGGCGTGTCGGTGCTATATCCCCTCACCCCCTGCAACGCTCCACGTGCCGTGCCTTGAAAACAATCATGTGCTATATGATGCTGGCGGTGCGCACAGCCAACACCTGAACCAGGACCGACCCGACTGACGGCAAAGTGGGAATGCGATGCGGCTGAGCTGCGGCAACCTGCGGGTTGAAGCAGCCCGTATTTGGCGTCTGTCAGGATCTGGCCTCTTGACCCATCCACAACCTTGTTTACGCTAACTCCTTCAAGAGCTCCATCATCCGCGGAGCGCCGGCGCTGGCGCCCTCGCCCCCTCATGCTTTTCCAAAGTGCCTACTACCTAGTAGTTACCTACAACTCTCTACGCCGTCGCAGAGACGAAAAACCGTTGAGTTCTGTGGCCAAATAAAGAGAAAGAAAGCAAACACGATTGCGCAACATTGCTTCGGCTACAGCGTGGAGCAGGTCACTTGTGAGGTTTCCCAAAGGACCAAAGTCGATTGAAATGGCGACGACCCCTGCAGCCGACCCAAGGTCTCCGCCAGCCACCACTAGCGATGCCGACGTGAAGGGTCCCGGGAGAATCAACCTCTCGGGTCTGGAAAAACCTGCCGTTTTCTCGAGGGGCGGGAAATCAGCGGCCTCGACGCCCAGCACGGCGGTCGAGGATGGCGTGCCGAGCCCGCGACGCGGCCTGTTCTCGCCCGGCAAGAGCAGCCCCCTGAGCTTCTCGCCCACGAGACGCATGTGCAGTACGCCGACCAGGCACATCGCCAGCAGCTGGAGAATACGCGGGGGCAAGCGGCTCGAGTGCGATCCGCTGCTCGCCAACTCCGAGTACTTTGACGACGCGAGGTCCGACACGGTCTACGTCGACGAGGAGGTCACCATCTCGGAGCTCAGGCGGCGGCAGGGGAGGCGCTGGGTCGTCTGCGGCATCGTTTTTGGCATCACACTACTGTAGGTCTCCCCCGTTTTGTTTGGGATCAAAGCGCGCAGCCCGCTGACTCCGGGTCTGCTCCAGGGTCGTGCTCCTGATCCTCAACGTCCTGCTGTTGATCTCGAGCCGCGCGTGGGGCCACGACGACGACCCCGATAGCATCTTCTCCGACTGGGGTAAGCCGGGCACGGGCACCGAAGACCTCGCCTGGTACCCGACCGACTTCCTGCGCGACGTGCAGCCGATCCCGTGCCACTCGCACAACGACTACTGGCGCAAGGTGCCGCTCTTCTCGGCGCTGCACGCGGGCTGCGTCGGCGTCGAGGCCGATGTGTGGCTGCTCGGCGCGGCCGGCAACGACACGCTGCTCGTCGGCCACGAGACGGCGGCGCTGCAGCCCAACCGCACCTTCCGGTCGCTCTACGTCGACCCGCTCGTCCGCATCCTCCAGCGCCAGAACCCGTCGCACCGCTTCTACAACGAGACCCGCCGCGGCGTCTTCGACGTCGACCCGGACCGGACGCTGGCGCTGCTCGTCGACGTCAAGACTGACGGCGCCGCCACGTGGCGCGAGGTGGTGCGCGAACTGGAGCCGCTGCGCAGCCGCGGGTGGCTGAGCCGCTTCGAGGACGGCAAGGTGACGTACGGCCCCGTCACCGTGGTCGGCACGGGCAACACGCCCTTTAACGTGCTCGTGGCCAACTCGACGTACCGCGACTACTTCTTCGACGCACCGCTGGACCGGCTCGGGGACGACGCGGGCGCAAAGTACGACTCGACAAACTCGTACTACGCCAGCGCCCGGTTCGGCAAGTCCATCGGCTCCGCCTGGTTCGGCGAGCTGCACCCCGGCCAACAGCGCAAGCTGCGCGAGCAGGTGGAGGCGGCGCACAAGAAGGGGCTCAAGGCGCGCTACTGGGACCTCCCCGCCTGGCCCATCCACGTGCGCAACAGCGTCTGGTCCAACCTGGCCAAGGTCGGCGTCGACCTGCTCAACGTCGACGACCTCAGGTCGGCATCCAAAAAGGACTGGACCAAGGTGTGGCCATTTTGAGGGGAGTCATGGAGTCCCGTTGGGAAGGGCCTGAACCCCGCTGATGTCGTCGTTCGTGGGATGGATGAAAATATACCAGGCGATTCACGATCCAGGGGGTTCCAGACCCCGGAGAACGAGCAACAGTTAGCTGTCATGATCAAAGGCCGCGGTAGCACATGAATGCTAAATTTCAGTTGTGCCATATCGGACATGCGGCTTTTTTTGCTGCGGCGGGGTTTGGATCAAACGCCTTATGAAATCCGCAGTCAACGTCGCCACCTTGCGCGCTGACACATGGGCGGCGATTCTATGTGTTAGCTCCTGGGAGTGTTAAGGATTCTGGTCGCGCCCGGCATGGAAACCGGGTCCGTTGCCGAGACTCCGGCATAACTCCGGACTGGGCCCGTGGAAAAGACGGGATTGCGGGATGCCGTGCGGGGTTCCATCTTTGGACAAGTGGACGCTATTACCTAAGGGCGATTGATACATGTGCCTCACTTGGTGCTTGGGTCATGGTTATCACAACGGCCGGCTGGCAGCCAAATGCACGGCTATAAAGCCGCGGCCGAGTTCTGAATCGAAGCCGTCGCTTTTCTGTATCTACACTCGCATTGCCCTTGCATATCGCCATTGCAACAGCCCAGAAATCCACACTGTATCCAATCCCCTCCCTCGCTCCCTCACAATGTCTGCACCAAAGCTTGCCACCCTTGACGTAAGTACCTACCTCACAATGCCGGCCCCTCACACACACGTGACCCCCTTCTACTGCAGCCCGGGCCGCTCACCCCTCTCCTCCTCCTCCCCAACAGGACTCGCTGGCCGACCGCCTGCCCAGCCACTCGCAGGACCTGTTCGCGGCCAAGACGGAGCGCGGCCTCAGCTTCGAGGCCATCGCGCAGCACCTGGGCCGCAGCGAGGTCGCCGTCGCGGGGCTCTTCTACGGCCAGGTGCAGGCGTCGGACGAGGACGCCGACAAGCTGTCGGCGCTGCTGGGTGTGCCGCGCGAGCACCTCTCCAAGATGACGACGTGCCCGGACCGGGGCCGCTCCGGGCCCATGCCGCCCGTCGAGCCGCTCATCTACCGCCTCTACGAGGTGGTGCAGAACTACGGCTACGCCTACAAGGCCGTCATGAACGAGAAGTTTGGCGACGGCATCATGAGCGCCATCTGCTTCAACACAAAGGTCGAGAAGGAGGTGGACGAGGCCGGCGCCCCGTGGGTCGTCATCACCCTGAGGGGCAAGTGGTGGGTTTCCTCTTGCTTTCCTCTTGCTTTCTTGCTGTCCTCTTGCTTTCCTTCTCTCTCTCTCTCCGGCATGTTCCCTGCGCGGCCCTTGTGCTCGGCTTCTCGAGTCTGCCTCGGGTCCGATGCATGAAGCCATCGAGTATGAACAGCAAGAAAATATTACCCATGACCTGCGCTTTAGCTAACGCCAAGAAAACCGCGCTTCTAGGCTCCCTTTCTCCCGCTTCTGATTTAGGCGAGTAGGCGTGATCGGCGGGAAACAAGTCTCCGGGGTTGGGGTCTCCGGCGTAGTGCGTTTGCAGTTACCTTCATTGTGTATATTGGTTCAGTTTGATAGTCTAGTGATCCGAATGACGGGCTTGCCCTGTCGCATGGAATCGCGTGTCCCTTCACACTGTGAGCCGCTATCTGCCCTATCACCCGATCGGATTGGACCCGGAGAGTCTTCAAAGATCAGGAATGGAACATACCAGAGAATGGATGCAATCGTATGCAACGATCGTGTGGGTAGTGGTTGTTGTAGGGGTGTGGTCGTCGGTGGCGCTGAGAACAATACTAAGCCGCAACAACAATACTAAAGGGATGGACCACTACCCCTGAATGCAGATGCCCTCCCCCAAATTGCCCTCGCCCTGGCAGCGTCGCAAACTCCCCGAGACCAAGACATTTTAACGAAATCTTCCGGGGGAAACTTCCAGTGCGCTTTCAACATGTCTCTGATTAAGCTGCTTCTCCCGTGACGCCGCCGTCGAAATGCTAGAAAACGCCTCAATCCAGCACTATACTGTCTTCGTCGGGGACTTCTGCCGTGGTGCTCAAAGAAACTCCAGAGGTTCCTCGACTACAATATCAAGCACAATACTAAGATAGGTATCCCCGACACAAGACATTCTGTTTGTTCTCAGATCCACGTGGAGAAGTATCGCCAGTTCTGAAAGAACACCCGGCACCGCAACTGTCGAGGGCCGCAGGCTGCTCGCCCTTTCTATCCAGCAAGCTTGAGGAACCCTGTCAAAGCAGGAACTCGATCGGATCCGTTCCTGCAGGCAAGGGACGCCTTGGGACGTCTGCGTCCATACCGTGGTCCCCTTGTATAAATTCTCGCGGCCCCCAACCCCTGCCAACCCGAACACACTCCTCTCCCACCACCAACAAGCTTTCACAAACATTCTACACAAGCTACCATCAGAACTTCATCAGACTCCACACAAGTCCAACCCACAAACCACTCTCAACATGCCTTCCAACGACGTCAAGGTCACCACCCCCCTCGAGGGACCCGTTGCGGGCTGCACGGTCATGTAAATCGACCCTGGCCAGATAGCCAGCTGCGAGCAAGGGGATCGGCCCCAAGTCCCAAGTCGCGCCATCCGCCCCTGTCTTCCCACTTCTTCTTCCAGGCGGCCCCAAGCCAAACAGCATGATGACGACAGACGACACAACCCTCGTTCCCCTCGCCTGCTCACCACGACTTCGAACCGAAACCTGCCCACAAGGACGGCTGCCAGCAAGCTCTCAGTAATAAGCCAACACGCATAACAAGAAAGCAGCAAACCCGTCCACACGAGGCCTCTATTCTTCTTTACGACGCACCCTAGCAGTGTTAGCCAACAAGCAGAGACAACCGTACTTCGCTCTCTCCTTCTGTCATCTGCCAGGGTGCAAATCTTGCTCGCCTCTTCTCCTTCTCAGCCAGACACCACCCCCGCCCATACATACAACGTCGCGCACCGACCGAGCTCTCCTTTTCAACAACCGAGGAAGTCAATGCGATGGGGGGCGGTATGATATATCAGCGATAAGCAGTGGAGGGGGGCCATTGGTACGGCAGATGACGACGACAATAGTCGGCGTCTTCTTGCCTGTTTCTTGTATTCCTAGTGTACCGTACCAGCCGCTGCGTCTTTGATGGAGCAGCGGTCCAGAAAATGGTGGTCAGGAAAGATAATCGATCGTTATGAATTCTCTTAACAATGTGTTCAACGCTTCCAGTCGAGGATGCCGCTGTAAAAACACTTTATCAGCTGATGCACGCTGAGCAGCCGTGAACTGTCCAGGTATTTATTCCTTTCGTGCTTCTGCCTTGCAGCTGCTTTCCTACCACCCTCATTCTTGGATACACAGACCGCTTTTGCCAAAAGCACGGCAGATTCGTAGGATTTTGTTTCTAATTGATATTAGCAGTAGGTGTGCCCTAATTACCTTTTAAGGAGGTTATCGGGACTGGTAGTGCTTCTCAAAAAGCTCAACCAGATCCCTCACATCTTCCTCCTTGGCCGCGCCGGAATCACATATTGAACTTGTTCAAAAACGAATCCAAAGGGAAATAACAGCCATCGAACCACAAGTCAGGATCGGCACCGCATTCTTCGACTAAAAAGCGCACAAACTCCTGCCGCTCCTTTCCGACAACAAGCTTGTGGACCGCCCCCGGGCATTCGGTCAGCACTGTCGGGTGGTAGGACAGGGTCTCGCTGCTAACCCAGTGGTCCATAAGATGCAGCGCCGTCGGCCTCACGTCCACATCCACAACCCCACAGGCCGGCAATAACTCGTCGTCGTACCTCAAATCCACCTTTTCCTTGGGCCACGTCCAGTTCACGTCTGCGCCTGCGTCCAGAAGCAGGTGGGTGGTGGCGCGGGTGCCGTCGCCGACCTTGTGGTGGCAGCCGTTGGAGCAGCTTAGGGTGTTGTCGAGGACGGGACACGTGCCCGTGCGGACGACAAAGACGAAGAGCAGCTCGTCGAGCTTCCCCGCGGCGACGGCAAAGTGCTCCGTGACGGCGTCCACGAGGCGGCGCCAGGCCGTGGTGAGAGTGCGTGCTCCCGGCTGGGCGCAGGCCCTCGCAAGCGTTCTGGCGGTGCGGTCGGCGGACACACTCGGATGGGTGAGGAGCATCCTGATGGCGAGGGCAAATGCCGGGTTCGCGAGATACTCGACTCCTCAACGCCCGAGGAGCATGTCGGCTGGGGGATCAGTTGGAAACCACCAGGGTTTCTCTTCTGTTGGCTCGTAGTCATCGCCGTATGGATCGTCAAGGCACAAGTAGATGGACACGTTGGGGTGGGAAGGCTCCAAGGGGTCTGCGCCGTGGTCGAGCAGGTATTTGAGGCTCGTTATGAGGGCCGAGGCTAATGCGTCAGCCCCGACGGCGGCCTTGGCCCATGCTCGTTCATCAAGGGCGTCGAGGAACATCAGCAAGGGGGTCGTAATTTTGAGCTCCTTGTGGCCCATCGGGACGTTGAGGTTGATGTCGCCGCCATGTTCCAGACATAAAGACATAATCTCAAAAACTAATTGGCCCTTCTCGGCGAGACAGACGCTTTTCCCGATACACCGGGCAGCGGCGCACGCGGGAACATACCACGGCTTCTCGTAGAGCGGCAGCCCTTGCTGCACCGGCTGAGGCGCGCGAGGTCATCGAAAGTCAGGTCCTCAAGAATCTGGTCGAGAATCTCTTGCGGCAGGTGTTCGAGAGATGTGCCAGTTACCGAACGCGGTAGAGTTAGGAGGATGACGGCCTCCATTGTTGTGAAATAATGCCGAGAGGGAAAAAAAAGGGGGAGGGGAACAGAAAAGAGAACGAAGCAGAGGGAATGAGGATTAAGAGGCGATTTGTACGTCTTTTCGGCCCGCGATTCGATTAATGGTCAGTGGGTCCAGTGGTAATGGCGCTGTATCGCAAACCAACCAACACCCACTCGATATCTTAAATTAACGCATAGTATCACATGGATATTATCACGGCAAGTCGGCTGCCGGTGACACTTCTATCTCGCCGGTCGGTGAAAACGGTATCAAGGTTAACGATGTCAACGACTTCAGCAAGGGAACCACCTGAGGCTGGTACAGCTGCGACAAGCTCCTTGTCGATACCAACATCTGCCTGTCCAAAGGCGACCCTTCGCTCCCTTTCCCCATCAGCAACGTGCAGTGCGACCCGACAAAGCCCGACACCAAGAACCCGCTCAAGAGACTTCAAAGAGCTGAACCCTTGTCCTCTCCACGCGCATTCTTTGGTGTTGGTGATTGGTGCTGTATCCTATACACGATGGTAGCTTCGTGTTCTTTTATACCTAGTCTAGCTAGTTTCCTTTGTGTTCGCTGAGCGTGGCAGCTTGCAAGGGGTGAGCATGATGAGGGTGGTCAAAGATCAGAACGCGGCCCATGACAACAATCAGCCATTTGACCTCGACTACGGCCAACTAACTGCCTGGGTGTAATCGCTCTAAGAACATACTCCGCGGGTTAAAGCCACTCACTCGAATCAGTCCTTTGGGTACCTAACTTGGGTGATACTTTTAATCCACGGCAATATAAAGTGCAGTCCATGGGCCGATGCGATGGTTTCCAGCAACATTCTTCACCTGCCAAATTAGCTGGAACTCGATGTACCGCCGAAAAAGGAAACACCTTCGCTGGGTATTTGGTGAATGACATGAGCGGAGGCAACTTGATTCGGTAAAGTCAACGCTGTAAGGGGCATCAACCAACTTTAAGCTACTGGTCCGTGGGGCCCCACCCACATCCCTGGTGATCCTGGGCGGTGAGCTGGCGCCGCTGAAAAAAATGCGGCAGAATCTTCGAGGTCCCGCTGAAGGAGAAAAAAAAAGAAGCGCCGACGCGAAGCTCTGTTGGTGGTGCAGCCAGTCAGAACCGCTCTCGACTCTCGACAACCATCACCCCACCGGTCTGTCCCAAGTCGCATACCAATCCCATACCGCTACAACTGCATTGGAGCTGCGCGGAGCATTTACAAAGACGAGCGAGAACGAGGATGGTTGCCAAGTCCAAACTGAAGCTCGCCCTGGCGGCGGAGAAGGGCGTCGACTTGCGCAAGAAGAAGGAGCAGCGCAGGATCAAGGCGATCCACAAGGAGAAGGAGAAGAGAAATTCGACCAGCAAGGGCGTGCCCGCACCAGCGCCCGCCTCAGACGATGACGAGGACGAGGACGATGAGGATTGGGAGGATGAGGCAGAGGAGGGTTCGGACGACGACGAGGATGAGGAAGAGGACGAGGTGCGCATACCCTTGCCAGTCCGGTCCCAGGGCTCTGAAGCCCCTTGCGGCGTGCGGGAGTAATCACAGGCAGGGGGACTAACTCTACCCGCAGGTAAACCTGGGCAACTTGGAGGACAGCGACTCCGAGTCCGAGTCGGAGGTGGAGATGGAGGAGAAGATCAGCCGCCCCAAGGCAAAGGCACCGGCAGCAGCTGCACAGAAGACCAATGCCGACGGGAAGAAGGCAAAGGCCGCAGCAAAAGCCGCAGCCGACGACGACGACGATGACGACGAGGACGAGGAAGAGGAGGAAGAGGATGGAGACATCGCAATGAGCGACCTGGAGGACCTGGACGAGGAGGAAAAGTCGGACCTGATCCCGCACCAACGGCTGACCATCAACAACACTACGGCGCTGCTGGCCTCGCTGGCGCGCATCGCGCTGCCGACGGCGCCCGGGGCCGCGCCCTTCTCGTCGCACATGTGCGTCGTCTCGGCCGGGCCCGCGACCGAGTCCGAGATCCCCGACGTGGCCGACGACCTGGCGCGCGAGCTGGCGCTGTACAAGCAGTGCCTCGACGCCGCCCGCCGCGGCCGCGCCCTCCTGCGCGCCGAGGGCGTGCCCTTCTCCCGCCCGGTCGACTACTTCGCCGAGATGGTCAAGCCCGACGAGCACATGGAGAAGGTCAAGGCCAAGCTGGTCGAGGACGCCACGGCCAAGAAGGCGGCCGCCGAAGCCCGCAAGCTGCGCGACCTCAAGAAGTTTGGCAAGCAGGTCCAGGTTGCCAAGCTGCAGGAGCGCGCAAAGGCCAAGAAGGACACGCTCGAGAAGATCCAGAGCTTGAAGCGAAGTACGATTACAGCCTTTTTGTTTGTCCTTTTTTTTTTTTTTTTTTGTCCACTTTGCTAACCGAGGTACACCCTTTCCCCCACCTAACAGAGCGTCAAGAATCCTCCGCCGCCCTGCCGGAACGCGAGGCCGACCTGTTCGACGTGGGCGTCGACAACGAGCTCAAGCAGCACAAGAGCGCCGGCGCCGCAAACGGCAAGAAGGGGTCCGCGGCGGGCGACCGCGGCCGCGGCGAGCCCGGCCGCAAGCGCCAAAAGAAGAACGACAAGTACGGCTTCGGCGGCAAGAAGAAGTTCTCCAAGTCGGGCGACGCCATCAGCTCGGGCGACCTCAGCGGCTTCAGCGCCAAGAAGATGAAGGGCAAGTCGGCGCCCCGGCCAGGCAAGAGCAAACGCATGGCCAGGGCGTCCAAGAGGTGAAGAGTGGGGAGGGCTGTAAGGCTGCATGTTTTGGGTGGCAAAAGAAAAGCAAGTGTGAGATCAAAGAGGTATCTAGATATATAGTCAGACAGTGTCAAGTCAGCCCTTGCCTCTGGTTATCACCCTCTCAACGCTTCAAACCCATCATGAAGTGATAACAGGTAGCAAAAAGGCTGAGCCGTGGCTCTAACGCACAGTAGGTTCAGAAAAGGAGGACGAGCAAGGGCCTGTTCTCTGTCCCCTTCGGGTGGCTCTATCTCGAGACGTCCATGCGCGAACTAGCGGTCCTCCGTTCCGGCTGACGTAGAGCTAGTCGACTGACGTAGAGCTAGTGTAGGTACGCTTCCCCGACCTGGTTATCCCTCCGGTTTGCTCATATTTTTTTTGAGCTCCTTGCCTGCTCCATCAAAGAGTCTTCCTGCACACCAAGTCAAGTCTTGAGCATATCGGGTTCACCCTCTCCCAATTGTCGGTGGTATTTATAAACTAAAAACAGCCAGCTAAAGGAATCAATGGTCAAGAGAGGCATCCAAAAAAAAAAAAACGACACGCGAGCAAGGAACAGATATACAAATGCGAGAGGGGCGGACAGGAGAGGTTTGATTTCGGCGGCCGTTATCTAAGCAAAAACTTCCGAGCGACTTGGAAAGAATAAGAGAAGCAACAAAAACGGGAAACTCCTGATTTCACCACCCAATGCTACACATTAGACGAAGAAGGACGGACGAGGCAAACAGAATGCACCGCAAATTGCAAAAAGAGAAGAGAACC